TGTAACCTGTTTGCAAAATATACAAGCATGAAACACACTTAAAAAGAAGAAAACATATTATCTATGTCCTTTTGGTTTGTTTTATCTTCTAAATATAGTGAACATTCGCAAGAAAAAAGGAATGACAATAAAACCGAGGAATGTTGTGTAGCGATGATGTTATGGCATCATTTTTTTAGTGATTGGAAGATGTTGTCAGTACTTCAATATAGTGATGCCCTGGGTGGGATCCAAGGGTGGCCATAAATTGAAAAAGAAATACACACTCTGAATAGCAACCTATGCTAAAAGATAAAGTGATGAAAATGATAAAAAAAAACTACACATGTCTTTATTTTCATTCAAATAAACCTTGTCATAACTAATAAAGAATTGCAACGTCAAAAAGTGGATAGACACTAATCATTACAACATCCAAATAAAGAATTTCATCAACTGCCTCAAGCTTTCACTTCTCTATTTTCTAATACAATAATTTATTAATGAAACTATATAAGTACTACATAGAGGATATATTCATAACAACATAAATTACATCCATTGTTCTCTAGATCCACACAAGTTTCACTGAATGTAGCTACCTAAGTTGACATGAAGAATAAGCAAAAATGTCCACTACCCGGCAATAAATAGTTGCATGCGGACTTAAAGATCTCTATGCACAACCCACGCCATAGGAATCAGTAGCAAAAAGATTTTTAAACCCAAAAGAGAACTGTAAAATTTCTCATTCTTGAAATTAACATCATGCAAAAGCTACCTACGTAAATAGATGCAAGTAAGTTTTTGCTGAAAGTTGAAGCAACCAAAAATTGATTGCGAAAACATAAGGCATTGATAAGATATAAGTTAAAGGTTGATGGCATTCCAATTTTCTCCTCGAACTCTCAAAAGTTTGCATATAAGAAAACCACATGCAGAGAACAACTAAAGAAATAAGAAAACTACTTGCAAATGAGCAAAAGGGATAAGCTCGAGGAAGGGAGTTTTCTTCAAATACCCGCCTATGCATATTTCTGTAATTCAAGGAGGAGCAATTTCTACAAGTAAACTACACGATGCCAATCAGCTAGATCAATTCCACTTGAATAGTAATCAAGTAATCAAACTATGCATTGTGTAAGATGATATTATGTACATACTATTTCTAAACGAGAAATAGATAACTGTCGAAAAATAATAATATTGAACTCGCAGGGAGTTACTATAACCCACTTCTATATGAACAGCCAGAGGGCAGAACCCTAATGACCTCAGAGCTAACAACTAAACTGAAGGCTTTGAAGAAGACAGTATAACCGTAAATTTAACTACAATCAACCACAAGCAACAAGATTTTTCGATTATTCTGAGAGTCAACTACACAAAGAGAACAATTGAAGCATATTTGAAAAGCTCCAGGCAAGTTGAAGACAAACTGTAACTTTAATATATGATCATTATTATAGCCTTCAAGTATTGATGATTCTGAGAACTATCATGGCCAACCCCCTTATACAACTACGTAGCCATAGTAGTTAGTTGTACATAAACAACCAATGTAAGTAAATATTGAAAATAACAACTGATAAAACTTAAAAGCTATCTATTGATTTTAACGTGCCTCTTAGTAACTACTATGCAATCGAGTATATATGATTTTTAGGCGCTGAATAAGAAAAGTATAGATGGCTCACAAATAAAGACCCAATAGCTAAAGTAGCACACAAAAACCAAAAATAGAAAAAGTTATAAAGAAAAAGGCGAGAAACAATCAAACAACAGAAAAGCCCGCATAGGAATACCTTGCTAGCTCTAGAGACTCTCTGTCACAACAAACAATCCTTTAAAAATTCTAAAACCTGCGACATTAAACATTAAACAAACCTCCCACGACATTAATGTATGGCATGCCTATTTTCCAACAAGTTTGTCCCATTCAAAATGAAATTCAAGCTTTGGATTACTTCTAAATAAATGGATATTTCAACATTAAATCAAAACTCACAATCATTAATAGTTAATGCAAAGACATACATTTCTTAGGCCAATCACAACATTTAAGCACAACTTGTAGTTTAAAAGAGCAACTGAGCATTTAACTAAAAGATATAGTAGAATATATACAATCTACTTCCTACTAATGATATAAACGTATACCGGTACATCTTTATATCATGACTTGCCATTTGCGATGGGTTACTTTGAAATACTGTTGCATTTTAGAGAATAAACACCCATAAGGGCATTACGAAACCAACCTTAATCCGAAATCTTCATATTCCACTTTTTAGGTCCCATTTTCAAAAACTAGAGAATTTAACATGTCAAATCACTCATTTGAAAAATATTAAACCACTATTAATCAATGCAACATAAAGCCACGTTTATACTTGTTGAGAAATAAAGTGGTATTTAAACATATCTAGCCTCATGTCCGTTCGCTTGCCCACCAATCCTCGTTTCAGTCCCGTGAAGCTTTCTCCTCCTTGCCGCCTACCTCGTTCCCCTGTGTATGCTAGTCCTCTTAGGGAAGGTCCTCCTCAAGACCATCTGAAGATCAATTTCGATGTTGCTGTCAAGGTTTCTGGTTGCTCGTCTGGCCTTATTGTTCGTGGCTCGGACAGGCATGTGCTTCTGGCCTTGCGTGTCCAGCAACAGTGGATCTGTGATATGTATCCTGCAGAACTCCTTGCAGCTTCTTGAAGTTTGTCTTGGTCATCCTCGCGCAGATGCAGAAGTTGTCATCCTTCGAGATTGTCTTCTTTTTCTTGAATCTTTTTTCATTGTATAGAATTTAGTGCGGTTCCGTGAACTGCCAACTGGGCTGCTCGTAGAGTGGCACTTAAAGCCATGTTGATGTCTCGGTTAGAGTTAGCATCTTTTCATTTTGTAAGATGATTTGTTAGTGGGATAGAGAGGGATTGTGGGTAATAGTTCTTTCTAACTGTTGTCTTTGGCATTACTCAGGGAAAAAAAATTATATACTTGTTGGAATAATCCCAAATCATTATCAATTAATGCACCCAATTACCTGATGTGCAGAATAGCTCTGTAGCTGTATTGCTATTTGCGTTGGTCTACCTTCAAACATAGCCGCATCAAGAACCAAAGCAATTAAGCAAAAGATATTCATATTCAAAATAGAACGACTCAATTCAATTTGGCCAGCGCTTTATACATATCGGTTACCCCTAGACCAATTGCACTTATTGTCTTCATATCTTCGTGAACACAATACAATTGAGGAGAGGAGGCTATCAATGAAGTGGAGTGTGTTAGTTAAGTGAATCACCATACATTTGAACAAACGGGGTCTTCTTAATTAGCTACCAGAACAGTGAGGGTAGCTGCCATTCATCAGTTACTCACTCTACGCATTCCAGTTATAATCTTTGGCCTAGGTTGTAGAGATTAGGGTTCATTGAGAACTTTGGGTACATGAGTAGAGTAGGTTTTTGGGGGAGGAAATGACATGGCGAGTAGAATGAGAGCTTAGACGAGGTTGCGATGGGTGCACAATTGGTGGACCAAATCACAGTTTGTGCCTGTTTAAATCGAAACATGTTTTTACTTTCGTGCTCGACAGACTGGCCGCACTGGTGCCTTCAAAATTTACCCCTCAAAAAATTGCTATGGATGCAACAAATTTGAAAAGGGATCTGTCATTTCTCATTTCACCTTTATATTATGTGTAGATTGTGATGATTAATGAGTGTAGATGTAGACATGTCATTGTCTTACAAATTCATTAACATGCCAAAAATGGTGAAATAAGCCACCCTATTAAACTCAACCCCAGACTAATTCCAACTCACAAAGTGAAATTTGGCTCCCCAAATATTCAAATATGGCTTTTTAGCTCCCCAAACCCCATTTTTCACTCCAACCCTACAAAAAACTAAATTTAGCTTTCCACCTCCCTTTTTCAGTTTATTTCAATAAATCATACTTATTTGACCTCTAATTTTTATATTTTACTTTATTTTTTTATAGTTCGTTGTTACTTTTGAAAACAAAACGTTCGATGTAATTTTTTTTAATTATGAGATAAAAAAATTTAGAAATTAATCATTAATTTGTTACCATTTACGATCGTTGTTTCGTCACTATATTAATGATCTATCATTTAAATTTATAATAAAATTTAATAAAAAATAGCCAATCACAAAGGGAAAGAGAGAAAAACAAAACAAAAATAAAGGGTCTGCCCGACTGGCTGGCCGATAAAGGCGCAGAGAGCGCGCCTAGGGCGCATGCGCACGGAGAAACGTGGCCACCTCAATACCCCAACCATATTTGCTTTTCACCCTAAACAAGAGCTAAATTTAGCTCCCCAAATGAAAATACTCAAATTTGACAACCAAATTTTTTGTGGGTAGGAGCTTAAAATAGAGCCAAATTTGGCTTTATGGCTTTTTAGCTCCCTGGGTTGGAGAGAGCCTCATAAAATGACTGTTAATTCCAATCATGTCAGATTCGAAAGAGGTTTAAAACGTAGTGTTTAACACGACTAAAATGTTAAGAGAACTAGTCCCATAAAGTTTGCACAAAGATATGATTGCTTCATAGTAGTTCCGAAAACTAATACTAATTTAAGATTCAACATCGCTTCTACACATATTTTATTGCAGTTCGATATGCAATATTCGAACCAGTGATATTTGAGATGCAATTTTAGGGTTATCATATAATTATTGAATAGATAGAAATTAAATTTAAGTATTAAACTACAACTAAAATAATCAAATATGAAAATCGAAGTATCAAAAGACCAAATAAGTACAGGAGATTCAGTGGTCACCTAATCTTTAAAGAAATATTAATGTTAGATTTTATGTTCATGTTTGTTTTTAATTTAAAAAATACAACAAATATACTTGGATAAATACAATTATAAATAATAATAAAATTATTATAATATTATCGGTAGATTAATAAAAAGCCAAAAAAAAAAAACTGCATCCATTCATGATAAATAAATAATAATAAAAACGTTTCCTAATCACTGTCGAATTGGTTTTGGGGCTAGTTTCCTAGTCGCAGTAGAATGCTCAGAGAATACACGCTCTCCCTGCCTCCGAAGCTGCGTTTTATTTGTACACTAATTGCCAACCAAATCCTTCAGCTGCTACTCTCTTACTCTCTCCATCCACAGAAGTTCAAATCAACCCGTTCTCTCCCTCACTCTCCAATTCCTCTCAACCGATTTCATCTCCCGCACTTTGACCTCTTTCTCCTCTCCTTCAATGGCGTCGGCGCCGGCAGCAGCCCTAACCCGAGACCAGTACGTCTACTTGGCGAAGCTCGCAGAGCAAGCCGAGCGCTACGAGGAGATGGTGAGCTTCATGGAGAAGCTCGTCACGTCCTCCACCCCAGCCTCCGAGCTCTCTGTCGAGGAGCGGAATCTTCTCTCCGTCGCTTACAAGAACGTGATTGGCTCCCTCCGCGCCGCCTGGCGTATCGTGTCTTCCATTGAGCAGAAAGAGGAAGGCAGGAGGAATGATGAGCACGTTGGGCTCGTTAAGGAGTACAGATCCAAAATCGAGACCGAGCTTTCGGCCGTCTGCGCCGGGATTCTGACTATTCTCGACTCCAATTTGGTTCCCTCCGCCGTTGGGAGCGAATCCAAGGTCTTCTACTTGAAGATGAAGGGGGACTACCATCGCTACATGGCGGAGTTCAAAGTTGGAGATGAGAGGAAATCTGCTGCTGAGGATACTATGATGGCTTACAAGGCTGCTCAGGTAAAACTGATTCCATCAGCTTCTTTTGTTCATTATAATTTCGGATTGATTTGATCCAAGTTTACAGTGTCCGGCAAAATTTGAGATCCAATTGGATTACCCGCTACCGCCGATTAGCAATTCAATTTGAATCTCCATATGCGAGGATTCCATGGTTGGTCTGCGAGCGTAATTATAGTGATTTCGACATGTGGATTTGGGTTGAGAACACTGTCCACTGTAGTTGTTTTGCTTTGATCTAATTGCTCAATGAAGTATTTGTCAACAGCCATTCTCACTGCTGCTTAATTTTGCTTGTCTAAAGGATATTGCTTTAGCTGATCTTGCTCCAACCCACCCTATAAGACTAGGGCTAGCGCTCAACTTCTCGGTGTTCTACTATGAGATCCTCAATTCATCAGAGAAAGCTTGTACCATGGCCAAACAGGTTTGCCCAAGATCATTATTCTTATTTAAAAGTTCTGCCATGTGGTTCGTGAATGCTTGGTCAGCCATGTTTCTTCTCTTTTTAAGATAGTCAATGGTCTTCTGTTGATTTACGTCTTCACTGTGTACTTTATATATAAACTTGTTGAGTGATGTATGCATACAAAATGGCGTGTGAAAGTCTTTTACTTCACTGAATTATGTTCTACTAGGTGGCTGAAAAGCACAAACTTGCAGTCGCCTGAACTAGATGTCCGTCTTATCCCGTTTCCACCAAAGTTCGACTAGGATGGAAGGTAGTCAAAGATATACAGTGATAGTAACTTTGTTGAAACTTGAAAGTTTGAAGGGTCCAAGTAAAGATACTTGACGTGGACCAGCAAACAGAGCTATCCATACCGTATTAACTCTCTTGTTGCATAGTAGGTACTTACCTGCTTCATCAAATGTTGTAAATAAATCAAATTAAGCACAGAGTGCCTGTTAGGTTTTACCATATAGAAAGAGAAGCGATTTCCAATATAAATGGGTGGAAAAGAGTTTCCCCCTTTCTCCTATCAAAATTAAAACGTAACAGTTGGGCATAATCTTGTATGCTTAAAGTTTATGTGCTTGTCTTTTTTAGTGTCACTGATGAAAACGAGAAATGGGGTGTGCACTTGACTCTGGTTGAGTGGTGTTGAAAAAAGAAAGAAAGGTGAAAAGGTAGGTGTTTTCTAGTGTGTCTATGTTCAAGGGGTGATGTCATCTGTTAAAGATTCTATGATATGGTTTGAAGATTCACATCCCCGATGGTTGGTGCTTGGTAAATCAGTGCTGTTAGGGTGATGTCATCTGTTAAAGGGGAGAGTATGTTGTTTTTTGGCCTAATTCATTGGAATTAAGGACTTCTTGCCTACTTTATGACGTCTAGAAAATGTTGATACAGATTAATTCATGTGAAACTGTATCTATAAATAGGGATATTCATTACGTAGCTGAGTTCGTTGAAAGTGTATTTAGATTTTGAACTTGCTAAATATTGTTTGCCTGTTGTTTCTTTGGATGGATTTGATTTGAGATATGGTTTTGTTTACTTAGTAAGAGTGGATTTGAAGTGGTTAGTTGACTTTTTATTTGAAGTCATCCCTAGAATAAATGTTTCATGCTCACTAAAGGTTGTTATCTATAAATTTTATTACTTATGCATATTAAATATGTTTGTATGAATTCATACTGAGTCGATCTCTCTTTTTTTCTTCTTGTGGCGAAGATACCTGCTCTGCCTTTCCCATCTTACTGACATTACATTAGTTACAATTATGGGACCGTTTGTGGACTTTAAATTGGCAGTGTATCACAGGGAGCTAATAACTGTCACTTATTTTTTGTACTAGAATGCCAGAACAGATGAGGAACTACTAAGATCAACATAGCTGCCTGGCTTCTTAGTGTGTGTTTTTATCTGTGGTTTAGATTCTCAACACGCAAAGACAGCGGAGGGGAACTTATTTCTTCATGATCTTGCTTGGTGTCCTGTTGTATCTAGCTGTAGTCTTTATTTTATATTGAACTAGTATTGTTTTGACCTGCTTTTTGATCTCTAGGCTTTTGAGGAAGCAATTGCTGAACTGGATTCATTGGGTGAGGAATCTTACAAGGACAGCACTCTCATTATGCAACTGCTCCGAGACAACCTCACTCTCTGGACTTCAGATATGCAGGTTAGTGCTCTTACTTTTAGTTAGCGTGTATATATGTGGTATGTAAAAAGCTGCGTGCTATACCCATGACACAAAATTGATTATGAGCCTCGATAGATTAGCATTACCAAGCTGCTTCCGTGTTGGGCATTATTTGTGCAGGAGCAGATAGATGAGGCATAGACTGAACCAGATTGTTTTCGCTATTGGGGTGATTGGTGGGGCAAGAAAGACAATGGCCTGTATAACTTATATATGTGTTTCCTAGTTGTTCTGTCAACTGCATATATCTCTCTCCGTTTGCTCTAGAAGTACTCATATGGTGAGAAACTCCCTTTGCGTCTCTCTTACGAATAGAATTTGGATTCCCAGTTGATCGATCGATTGACTGAGTTTCCCTTTTATGACTGTAATTTCTTGTGTTTTCTGCTCTTCTGTAATGTTTCTGCTTGCACCCGATGTCGTGTGAACTCTTCATTATTCCTATGAGGTGGTCGTGCATACTCGTGAAGCAACAGTGGGGTGAAGCTACCTGCCTTCTAGTGACTAGCTTTCCTTCTTTAGTTAGGACTAGGAGCCACTAGACAACGTTCACAGTTATTAGGGCTGAAAGTGGGATTGTTTTCAATCAATTAACTCAGGTCCTCCCACTTCATCACTTGATCCTGACTTTGCTGGGTTTGGGTTAAGCTGTGACGGGTGACAGTGTGAATACCCAAGCAATCCCTTCCCTCCACACATTTCTCCATTATCTCGCGGGGCGAAACGAACAAGTTCGATTTTCTTCCGGCACCGCAGTGTCTTGATCTCGGAGACTCGCTAAGAAAAGCTTCCTCCGGCTACCGATTCTTGAGCCATGCAAGCATCGAAAGGGGCGCCTCCAAACTTCTTGGAAGGGCTCAAAATTGAGTTAAAATCCCCTTAAAAATTCCAAGGAGATTCCATTTTTCCGCGATGGACGTCATAGAATTCCACAACTCCCGTCTTTGTTATAAGTGTCGTCGGATTGTCATGTACTGCGGTAAGATACAAGTTATACTGCCCCATTTGAACTTGACTACTTGAGCATGAGGAAGCTGGCTAATCTGGGAGGTCTTAGTGATTGAGAACCCCCACCCCAAACCCATTGTTACTATATGTTATATAATATTAGTATCAATGCATGCATAATAATATACATGTATATAAAAAAATTGGTGTATTGTAGTTTACATTATTTGGTTTATGTGATAGTTATTGTGATATTTAAATAAGTTATTATATTACTTTTTGGATGAAATGTCACTTTTACCGTTCTTTTTAATATAAAAAACAACATACATAAAAAGATAGGGACATAGTTGGAAGAAAGAAAACTACAACCATCTCACAAAAAAATTTGAGATTTAACTATCACTCATTTTGAGTGATAGTTTGTGTCATATCAAACAAACAATGCATATATTTTTTGTGCATAAAGGCGTCGTTTGGAAGTTGCGATAATTTTGTTGAGATTGTCATTATGCATGTATTGTTTACAATGCATCGTTTTTTTGTTTTTTTAGCAGAAACAATACATGAATTGTTTCTGTGATGTGACAGAAACTATCACTCATTTTGAGTGATTGTTATATCCCAACTTTTAGTTGTGATTGTTGAGATAGTTGAGTTGAGATTGTTTTGTCTCGGGTTTTAGCTGATGCGACATACACAATCACACATACCAAACGTTGTATTCTACAATGCATCAAATTCGACAATACATGTATAATATTATACATGCATTCTCAACAATACATCTATTTAACAATCTCAACTTCCAAACGACCCCAAAATTTAGAAAAAACAATACATTGTAGACAATACATGCATTGTAACTATACAAACCAAACTATCACCAAAACCAAATGAACCTATGCATCCTCTCGCTTATTGATCTCTTAAATGATAAAAACCTCTTTCCCTAATATATGACTAATGCAATAACTATTTGGAATATCTCTTAAATGCAATAACGTTACACCTGTTGATCGAGAACCTTCGTATGGAAATTTCTGATTCTCTTTAATTGTCTATCGGATGCCTCATATAGGATTGGAGGCAGGGGCGTAACCAAGGGTCTTTAGAGTGTCCGGGACACCCCTTAATTTTAGAAAAACGATTATTCAACCCCGATGATAATTTACGTATGGATAAAAAAATTATAATTGATAGTGAGGGATAACCCTGAAATTTGACAAAATGATTATCCTACCGTCAGTTTTTTAATTTGTGTATGGGAATATAAGTGGTAGGTTGGGTAATTCAAATATAAAACACTATTCTTATTAATAAACTTAATTTCCATTAAGCTACAACTCATTTGTTGTTCTATTTTGAACACTGTGTAATAGTAAGATGTCATTTCATATCTCTAATTCTTTTAAAAACCTAACAATTAAACTAATTTCAAGCTACCCTTAACTTTTATTGATTTTATGGTTGTATGGCAAATGTTGAAAGAGACTTTCAGTTTTGGATTACATCAAGAACAAGTTTACAAATCACATATGCGATAAGTTCGTGAATGATTGTCTAGTAAGGTATATAAAGACAATTTTTTTTAACATTGTAGACACCAAGTGTATTCTACAATTATTTATGAATATGAAAACATATCATGGACTTTTTAACCTGTACGAGTAAGGTATTTTCTTATTTACGATTTTTTTTTATTTTTTTATTTTTTATTTTATTTTTTTTTTAAAAGAAGACACCCCTATGAAAAACTTCTGGGTCTGCCACTGATTGGAGGTACCATTTAATTCTTGGGTTCCTGCTGCTGCTGTTCCAGCTCCATCGATTCAACTTCTGGCTGAACTTCATCTCTCGTAGTTTGCCGGTTATGATTGTTTCTAGGGCTGGGAAACGAGTATTTGGGTATACCCATACCCGTCCCATTTTTCAAAGATTATGGGTACCCATAATACTTGTAATATTTAGGCAAAATACACTTGTATAGTCAAAATTTTCGCTTGTGCCAATAATAGCCAAATTTGGAGAAATACCACTTATAGCCAGAATTTTGAAACTTTTGTGCCAAATATAGTCATTTCCGTTACAAACTTTAACGGTGTTAGAGACTCCGTCAGTTAGTTTAATGTTAGGCTGACTAGGATGCCAAATCATCACACACGTCAGCGACAAATCAGCCACATTCGCCACGTAGGTGACACATCATATTTTTAATTTAAAAACAAATGAAGATTCATATATTAATCATAAAGAAAGAAAGGAAAATTTCACCAAAAAAAAAAATTGTTTCTCCCCTATCGCAAACCACTCCGCCATTCCCCTCACAATCGAAATACACGCCTTCCTATGCCTCTCCTTCGCCGCCGCCAGCCCTCACCGGAATCCACCCAAGCTATTGAATTCGAAAGCCCCTACTGCTCCGATACCGCTTGTCTGTCCGCCAGCGACTCAAAAATCTTCCTCGAATAGTTGACCGCATTAGCACCTACTGATTGGGCGTCGCTCAATTGAAAAACCATTGCTCCACCATGCTTATATCGACCTTCTGAGTCTGACCAGCAATTAGCCAATCAGAGAAGCACTCCTCCGTGCTTTGTCTCCAGTTGCTCACGCTGCTGCTTGTGGTTGGTGGACAAAATTTGATTTCGTCCATGATGGCGAACGACGAGATTGGCCAATTTAGTGAAAGCGGAAACCAATTGGAGATCCGTCATTCTGCTTTCGGTTCGTCGATTTGTTCACTGTTCTGCTTCTGAGTTCGTCTGCGTCTGCTCTATTTGAGACTGCCACTTCCCATCGTCGGCTTCTTATTCCCAAGTGTTCTAGCGTCAATCGATATCCACTCCCGCAGAAACTCCTTGTGCCGCTCCCACAGCTGCGAAGACCCAGCTATGTTGAACACAGGTGTTCCAGCGTCAATCGATCTCCACTCCCGCTTGGGTTTTCGTCGGAGAGGAGGGCATTGTGGGCTGCGCAACCCCGGGAGCGAAGAGGAAAGTGGTGTCAGGGCAGCGGCGGCGGAATCTGTGGTAGTAGTGGTTTGGAAAATTAGGGATTCGAAGAGATAGAAGGGGAAAGTGAAAAGGGAGGGATAGGTTTTGAGTTCCTTTTTATTTTTTAAAATTAATCTAGCGTGGAATTGTCAAGGGAGAAACTTGCCAACTCAGCCTTTCCGTTTGCCCAGTCAGCCTATTGGTTAACACCGTTAAAGAATTGGACGAAAGTGGCTATAAGTGGTATTTCGCCAAAAGTGGTTATAAGTGGCATGAACGTGAAAGTTTTGGCTACACAAGTGTATTTTCCCTAATATTTATACGGATGAGACTTGTGATTGTAAATTCTTACATTGGATACCCGCGACCCGTGAGTTACTCACAAATTCTATTTAGGTAATATGAATACCCGTAACACCAATTAGCATAAATAATAATTATGAATTTATTAAACATTTATCATTCTAACTTTCTCTATTTCTCACTAGGAGAGTAGCAGTTAGGGCTGTCCATTTGGTTTTGGTTTTTTGGTTTTAACCAAAACCAAACCAATTGGAAAGCTAATGGTTTCAGTTTTTTGGTTTTAAACCAATAAGCAACTTAATGGTTTTGGTTTGGTTAAAACCAAAAAACCAATAGAAACCATTAAGAAACCAATAAGAATAAAATTATTTATCAACAATTTTTTTACTTTTTTGTTTCATTTAACACGCATGCCAACCAATAATTTGTAATGGTCATTTACCATTATTATGACGTTTATTCAATAAAAAGAAGGGAAATATGAATAAATATGAGTGTATGAGTACATGTTGGTTTTTTGGTTAACCAAAACCATTAGGGTCCTTATTGGTTTTTGGCAACCAAAAACCAATAAGGACCTTAATGGTTTTGCTTTTGGTTTTTGGTTTTTCATACTTAATGGTTTGGTTAACCAAACCAAACCAAATTGACAGTCTAGTAGCAGTAGGCAGTAGCCAAGCATTACATTTTTTTGGTGGGAATCCTTAATTTCTTATACAAAGCCCAAATGTGAGCAGCTGCCCAAGGCCGGCCTTAAATTAAGGACCTTAGGGCCAATTTTTTTAATTTAAGTATAATCTAAACTTGTTTGTGTTTCGGTGTTTGTCTCTGTACTCTGTGTTTGTCTCACAGGTTACCCGTAAAAAAAAAAAAAAAAAGTAGTTACAGTTTCAACAGGTGCCACAGTTACAGCTCAGCACGCACAAGTTGCCGAGTTTCAACTTTTGTTAAAATTAAAATGATTCAATCCTTGAGTATTTATGGGTAGATTGTGTATCAGTTATGTGTCTCGTATGGGTAATGAGTATATGTTAACTCATACAAGTTTGAGACATGAGATGGATTTTACACTTCATGAGATGGATTTTACACTTCAAATGAGAATGAGTACTCTGTTTAAACAGGACAGGTACCCGTTCCCGTTGTCCGTCCCTAATCATTCCTCCCCTTATGTTCACCACTTTCTTAAAAAAACAAGACGCCAACCGTTAATCGATTAGCCGGAAGTCGTTTGACACTAATCGTTGTACCATAATCGACTAACCAGTTAAATCGCTAAGCGTTCTATTTACCACCACTACAAGTATTGCTTTTCACCAAAAAAAGGAAAATATTGCACCTTGCTATTTTAGGGCTCATTGGGCCTTCGGTTGGTTTCGCTTGGGCTCAGGTCCTGATGGCCTATCAGAGTCTCAAGCTTGGAGAAAAAGTTGCGGTGTGCCGTTGACTTGGGATGGACAGGGGAGAGATGAGATTTTTTCCTGTAATACACACGTTAAAAAAAAAATTCTCAAAATACACACGTTATAAATTAAAATCCAATCTATACATGTTTGGGCATCACCGTGGCCGTCAACCATGATGAAGGCATGACATAAGGCTGAAACTTCGAACGAACATAATTTTGCTTTCGGTTATCCAATCGTAGCGAAAGTTGTTTTATTCCGCATAATTTTTCGAGATCTTTCAACCTAAAGGCAGTTTGGTCCCTCTTTCATCCCGAAAAAACGTCTTTGCTACCCCGAACATGCAATTTTTCAATTTTTCCAAACTTTGCAAAGCCATAACTTTGTGCTACGCAATCTGAATGTTACAAAATGTTTTTGATTTTGCATAAATTTTTAAGGACTACAACTTTTATAATAGCCCTAATTTCAGAATGTATGTGGATTTGTGAAAATGAAAGGCAAAGTTATTCTCAAAGCCCCGTATATCCAAAAAAAAAATCTTGTTTGAAAATTCCTTCCTAGTAAAAGTTGTAGTCTTCAAAAAGTTATGCATGATAAAAAAAATTCATGACGTTTGGATGGCGGAGCGCAAAGTTATGGCCTTCCAAAGTTTGATGAAATCGAAAAATTACTCGTTCGGGATAGCAAATGACATTTTTTCGGGATGAAGGCGGGACCAAACCACCTGTTTCTTGAAAGATCTCAAAAATTATGCGGAATAAAATAATTCGCTACGATCGAATAACCGAGCGCAAAGTTACGTTCATTTGAAGTTTGAACCTTATACCAGGCATTCACTGCGGTTGACGGCCACGGTGATGCATTCACTGTGGCTGTCAACCGCGGGGAACATGTTTATCGATGCCCATTCATGTGTAGATTATAAATTGTTTTTATAACGTAGGCTAAATTACACGTTTAGTCACTCAAATTATATAAATGTTTCACGTTTGTCACTCGAATTATTTTTCTTTCTTATTCGCCACTAACTTTATGAATCGTTTCGCCATTAGCACCGGCCGTTAAACTCCATTAAATTTGTCCTACGTGGCAGTCAACTATAAAGTTTGATCGTTAGCTTGATGACATGGAAATTAAAAATAATAAAAAAATAAAATTATTTTTTCACCTTATCATTCCACTTACTTTGTCTATATATTTTAATTATATTAATTATTTAATGAAAATTACTGAAACAATTTATGAATTACAAAATTAATTATCAGTGGGAGGAAGAAATTTATATAATCAACCAGTGCAATAGGATCAGAAATTATCCTGCATCCCCATAGCCTTTTAAATTACTTATTTAGAAGCCTTTTAAATTAGTTCGTGATACATAACTTAAACGGAAGAACAAGTCCACCCCGAAAAATCCTATACCAAAACATTGAAGTCACTCCAGATCATTAAAAACCAATCAACCATGATCCCATGAACGTGATCTTGATCAGCTTCAGCATGGCACTCGCTGGGGCGGAAAGCCAAGGGACCAGCCGCGTAGATCACAACCTCATAGTTCGCTGACCTGAGCACCTTGCTTCGAACTGCAGCCTAGCTTCGTCGATGTTGTGCGTAGAAGTAGCCAGAAATCACTGATGCCTGGATGGAAGCTTCGCCAAGAACTGCAAGTCGTTGAAGAAGTTGTCCTGTGGATCTTGCAACTTCGGCGCCAAAGGTATGACGCCATCCTTAACAACTGTGCATCTCCGGAAGAACTGCCCGTGAAGCGGTTCCACAAAAGAACCCAGCAGTGGAGAAGAGCGCTGGATGGGAACCCGAAGAACCCAGTAGCAGCGCCGCCGGGAGGGACCACCGCGCTCCGATTGTCGGTGAAGAAGCTCGATGAGAGGGGAAGGATTTCGATGGCACTGACGAAAGCCATGACAGACGAATCTGAGGGAAGGAGTTCGATTGCCTTCCTCTTTCCTCTTAGTCCGAAACCCTGATTTTAACAGCAATTTATATATCTCAACCTAGAAAATCAATCCAATCCACAAAAATCAACTCAATCTCCGATTCACCGAAGCTCTAATCAAACAGATAACAGGAACGATGAATTCAAACATGGAAGAAATTCAGGAACAGAATTAACACAAACCTGAGTGCCCCACTGGCCTTGCCCTTTAACGCAAGCTTCGACGGACATTTTGCCATCACGACTGCGCATCAGCACTTTCAAGCCATTAATCTCAGTCTTTTCGAGAGGACTGAACCATAGCCACTGTTAGGCTATGACAGGTATCCGGCGTCGGAGATACGGATGAGGCTCTTCCTGGAGTCGGAGCTGAAGTCGTTGCCGCCGAAGGAAGTGGCAGTGCAGGGAGAGACGACTGGTGAAAGAGGCGAGTGAGGAACAAGGTGACGACGACGAGGAGAAGAGCGCCGATCTGGTGGGTACGAGTGCACCAGCGACGAGGAAAGAGGAGGCCGTTTATTTTTTAATTTAATTGTTTTTTATTAAATAATTAATATCATAAATCATATAGGATAAAGTAAATGCAATGATGAGGTGGACAATATTTTTAGTTTCCACGTCATTTAGTTAACAGTCAAACTTTATAGTTGACTGCCACGTAGGAAAAACTTAATGGAGTGTAACGGCTAGTGCTAGTGGTGAACGATTCGTAAAGTTATTGGCAAATAAGAAAGAAAAATAATTTGGATGGAAAACGTGAAAGATTTATATAATTTGAGTGACCAAATCGTATAATTTAGCCTTATAACTAGGGATGGCAACGGGTCGGGTTGGGGCGGGTTTTGTCAAACCCAAACCCAAACCCATGGGTTTATCCGCCAAAAAAACCCGGGGTAAAACCCGCTGGGTATCCGCGGGTTCATGGGTACCCGCGGATTTTTGTGGTAAAAAATTTACAATAACAAGTTTCTTTCAAAATAAAAGTTTAACATCAATTTTCTCATACAAATTATTCATACAAAAAACACCAATCTAGAGCATACAAGCCAACCGCAAATGATCAATACAAATTGTTCAAAATTAAAGATAAACATCTATAAACAATAAGATTAATTGAAAGCTTCTTCCTCGTCAACTAAGTTTCTTCACTCTCCACTTCATAATATCAACTTGATTCTAAACAATTAGAAAGAACAAATTATATATGTCTCCACAAACATAAAGTATTTAATTGTTTAAGGAATATATATTATTTAGAATATTAAATATACCTGGAAAGTAATTATATGTGTGGGCGGGTACCCATGGGGCGGGTTTACCTAAACCCAAACCCAACCCGATCCGATGAATAGTGTAGCGGGTTTAAATCCGAACCCGGCCCAAAACCTGTCAACACGGGTTTTACCCGCGTTGACCGGGTTGGATCGGGTGGGTACCCGTGGGTTCGGGTTTTGTTGCCATCCCTATTTATAACATATGCATTTTGAGAAGCGGCCAAGGAAAGTGGGAGAAACTAGAAATCAGTAAGGAAACCCTAGCAAGGCAGCAGCTACCGCTTTATCTTCTATTCTTCTCCTCCCCGAATTTTCAAATACAGAGCGACCCTACAATCCTAGGTCTGTTCTACAACTATCCCTTTCCCCTATAAGAACTAAACAAACCACCCCTTACCTACGCCAGAAATGGAGATCTGCACCTGTCAAACAACCCTCTCTTCTCTCCCTAGGCTCCCCACTTCCACTGTAAACGCCGCTGGACTCCTGTCCTCCTCTTCTGCAGCGGCTCTTCCATGCCTCCATTACTCTCGCTCCCTCAGCGCTTCCAGTACGGACTTCTCTGCCTTTCTCCATCCTCCTTTCCCCTGCTCATATCATTAGCTGAACATGAAGCTCAGGCTTTGATTTTATGCTTTTTTTTTTGTCTTATTTGTGTTCTGAATATATTGGCTGGTTCTATAGTTGTTTTAATCTATATTGTCAATGGCGTTTCACTCATTCGTTTTCCTTTTGTTTGCTCTATTTCAGGATCTCTGCGGTTTACAGCGAGAGCGTCGGAGGATTCGTCGACCGGGGCGAACACGCCTTATATCGTTGGGGGAACTGGCGATTTTGGTGAGAGTAGTAGCGCGACGAAGGTAGCTGAAGAAAAAGTTCCGGCCGCCGTTAAACCTAAAGTTATTTATAATGAAAACGGGGCGCCGGAGAATGAAGGACCCGCTTTCACCGAGAGCTTAAATGAGTTTCTCTCTGATCTCAATCTCAAGGTTTGTTTATAGATCCAAAAGCACGGCCCTTTTCCGTTTTCCATGGTTGTAGATAAGCGTCTGACGCCGTTGCAATTCAGCAATGGTGGTTCATTCCCTGATTAGCTGATTCGGCATTTTTTCTCTATTTCATATTGGATTTGACTTGAGAAAGTCTGGTTGCTATGATGAGCCATAAGGTAGTGGAGAGCATTTCCAGTGCTTGATGAAACATTCGACAAGCTGTCGAGCCTGAGCGGTTAGCTGAGCAAGTGGTTAACCTCTGTTTGAAACTTTTCTTGCTTGATATTTACAAAAAAAGTTGGCTTCCTTTTGCCAATGGCTTTCACTTGTGCATACTTGAGGACTGTGAAGATAAATATGGTTCGCTCGTCACAATGGTCAATTGGCCTTGATGATTCTCCGATTGTCTGAGTCCTGGTACTAGTTTTTAAGTGTTCGTCTTCTTGATTGACTGAATGTATGAAATTTAGATTCTTAGTTCAATTTGTTTTGTTTTGTTTTTTGATTCTTTCTCTTGTCTGTTTCAAGTATACAAGTGGATGATGTTCCAAGGCCCCTTCTTTCGACAGAAAGGCTGCTGCTTGTATGAATGTAGTAATCTGTGCCATTGAATCTCGGTGTGATATTACTTACATTGTGAACCTGCAGTTCGACTCAGAGGACACTGTTTCCCTTGTTATATATGGAAGTGGAGCCCTGCTCGCTTTGTGGTTGACATCAGCTGTTGTCAGTGCTGTTGATTCCATTCCATTGGTGAGCAAAGTTGTGTTACGACCGACAGCCATTTCTGTTCATCTTTCATTGAGTATTTGTTCTGATGATGGGTTCAAACTGTGGGTTCTATAATGTGCAGTTTCCCAAGCTGATGGAAGTTGTCGGACTTGGCTACACCTTCTGGTTCACAACCCGGTATTTGCTCTTCAAGGTAAAAACGTGCATACAATTTGATTCATCAGAAATCACCTTCTTTTGTGTCGACCCTGAGTTTATATTCTGCTGCACTGCTGCTGGTTTGACCTTGTATGTTTTGGTGGTATACAGAAAAATAGGGAGGAGTTGGCTACCAAAGTTGAAGAGCTGAAGCAACAGGTCCTCGGCACTAAAGATTGAACAAACCGCCTTCAGAATCGAGTTTTGGCTTATAGGTTCACATAAATAGCTTAGCTATCTGTAGGGATATATATATGTTTGTGAGGGTTTAATATTCATGTTAATAGTCAAAATATAAATTTGTTAATAATAAAAAAAAGAATTTGTTACTCATCATAGCAAGTATAGCTAGTTTTGTTTACCCTCATTTCTGACTTCGTTTGGCAATTGACAATATAGTCAAAATCGTGCTTTAATATTTGTGAAAGGCTCGAATATATGGACTTTTGCTCCTTCCTCATCACATCTTTTGACATTCTGCCCCATGGTGGACGGCTGGTGCCAATTGTTTGTGTAAGGCTATTGAGTAGAAGACGTACACGATTAAAAGGGGGCTCAAATGCTTAATTCAATGAAGAAGCCAAGAAGGGGTACAATACAATGATGAAGGTGTACATAGACGAGGAGAGAATTGGAGGAGAGTGGAGACATAAGGAATGTCTAGAGAGTGAATGCAAAATCCTATCCTTTCTTCAAGTGAGTAAATGCTGTATTTATAGTCTCCACTAGTTAGATGAGCAATCAATGCGACAAAACGGGAATATCAAACAGTACGCGGGCCCCTCAGGTCGATCCTTTCGCGGTGGGTAATGAGCGGCTGCTTGTGGCGCGGTAAGTAACCGCACAAGTGGGTGATTAAGTGCGGTGATAAAGCAGTTTATGCGTATGCGGCGGTCTTTCCCCAACACAACCATACTTGAAAATAATCAATGCAGTACTTAGTGATTTTTTAGTGCTAAACACCTAGTGAGGTTTCATTGGCAAATTGATGGAGAACTACATAGAATTTAAATTGTCTATGAATCAGAGAGATTGGACCGATGACAGGATACCCCCTATGTTGGCCATTTCAGTTTGCGGCCGCGCACGGCAGCGGTTCCCTTCTTCCTCCTTACCGCTGGACGCAATATTGTTGTTTGAGATGGTGGCGGTGGATGTGTGATTGAGTTGATGGAGAATGGGGAGAGGAAGACGCCATGGAGATTTCATTCACTTCATTGTGAATGCTTTAGCTACGGCAGCGCTGGTTCTACTTTTGCTGCGCCAACGACGGTAGCAGGCTAGCAGCAGTACGACAATTGGAATGACACAGAAGTGGCAGAGGAGGACGTCTAGGTCGGATTAGAAAATTTATTTTTAGTTTTATTTTTCAATAGTTGTGAAAATGAGATGAACATTTTATTTATTTATTTTATAATTGCTTCGTCACTTATTTAACGAACTACATTAGATAAATTTAATAAAGACTATCTAAACTTGAACTATTGAACTAATTGCAGTAATCATTAATGAAATAAAATATTTTTAATGACCAAAGTCGAAACGGTTAGTAAACTCAGCGACCAAACTTGCAATTTACCCATTAGCAAACACATGAAACATAAAAAACTATATAGCCAACATCCGAACTTGAAATTAAAAAAAATAAAAACAGAAGGTGCAATTTGTCACAACAAAATTTTGTCACTAACATAACCTAAAGAATGCATCATGCAACCAGAGGACCCCATGGCAAAAATAACATAGTTCTGATTCCGACGAATGAAAAAACCCAAACAAACAAGTAGGGGTGGCAATACGGTCCGGTTCGGTTAAATTGGACCAAATTGATTCGGTCCCACTCCGGTCTTTTCGGGAATATAAGGACCAAAGATTGGATTGGATACAGTCCGGTCTTGACCCGGTCCGATCCCAATTTGATTTTGATTTTAGGTGTTGGAGTCTCTTATCCGGTTTTTTTACCTCAAATCTAAGCCCGAATATGAGTTTGAATTTTTGCTATCCGGTCTCGGTCCGATTTCGGGTAAAACCAAATAGTCCGGACCAAATAGCCAGCCCTACAAACAAGTTCTATATAGGGATGGCAACAAAACCCGAATCCATGGGTACCCTATTCGACACAACCTAGTCACGCGGGTAAAACCCATGCTGAGGAGTTTTGGGCCAGGTTCGAATTTAAACCCGTCACACTATTCACTAGGTTGGGTTTGAATTTAGGTATACCCGCCCCATGGATACCCGCCCACACTCATATAATTATTTTTCTAGTATATTTAATATTCTAAGCAATATATCTTCCTTAAGCAGCTAATCTTCTTTATGTTTGTGGAGACATGTCTAATTTGTTCTCCTAATTGTGTAAAATGAAGTTGATATTATGGAGTGAATAGCCAAAAAGTTTAGTTGACAAGGAGGAATAAACTTTCAATTAATCATGTAGTTTATAGATGTTTATCTTTAACGTTGAGCAATTTGTATGGATGTTTATCTTTAATGTTGAGCAATTTGTATGAATAATTTGTGGTTTGATTGGATCTCTAGATTGGTGTTTTTTTTATATAATTTGTATGTGAAAAATTGATGTTAGACTTTTATTTTAACAAAAACTTATTATTGTGCATTTTTTACCACAAAACCTATGAGTATCCATGAACTCGATGATATCCAACGAGTTGGGTTTGAGTTTTCCAAACCCAAAGGGTTATACCCTGAGTTTTTTTGGTGGATATACTCAGGAGTCTGACAAAACCCAACCCAACCCGACTCATTGCCATCCTTAGTTCTACATTCCCTATCCATCATACAAAGATCTTTCTTTTCTTCAAGAAAAAAAAAACATTTATGACCTAAAGTTACCTAGTTGTTTAGTTTCCATGAATAGAGAAAAATTTACTTGGGAAGCATAAAAATAAATAAAAACTTTACGTTGCAGTTCGTATGGTCATCAGATCAGTAGAAAACTATGTGATTTGAAAAAAAATGGTTTAGAAAGAATTTAGACAAGGAGACGGTATCATGCAGCGGTCTGGGCATGCATGGCGTCCAGTAGGCATTCCACGGCTCCATGGTAGTTTAAGAACCCCATAAACCAAAATTCATGATTATCCACCGAGATCACCTGCACATATTTCTCTGCTGCATTTGCTCTGCTTGTCGAAGGGTTAACTGCCTTAAGCTGATGCAATGGGATGACCACCTGTTTTACAAAACCAATAACGACAGCGTGTTTGAGTATGCCAGTAGGGGCTACACGAAAGAAAGAGAAGAGAAGAAGATAGATTAGCTTCAGACAGATCCTTCTAACTCTTTCTATGCATCTCTAATCTAAGCTATCTATTATAGAGAAGGCCTTCATAGACACGAACCAACGTTTTCGCCACCTACTGTTAAATTGCATACAGATAGCGGCGAATTAAGTGGTTGGTTATCACAAAAATAAGTTCCAGTGCAGAAGCAAAAAAGGTATAGATTCACAACACACAAGCAACACTGTAGGCGCATGGAACTATTCTACTGGGCAGAAGATCAGGTGCTCAAAACGGTGGTAACTGGTAAAGGCTAGTGCATTTCACCTAGGAAGACAGGTTTCCAACGGAGTACAAACATACCAAAAGATTGCTTGCTCATTACTGGATGACATAATAAATCCCACTTATGGATAGGCTGTTCCTAAGATACTTGTCAAATCAAACGGCATAGTTCAAATAAACATCTAAGGTGACTCTGGAGAATAACTAGGCTAGCAAGCACTTTGAGGGTCCTGATTTTGGAATGGTGTAGAGTTATTCAGGTGCAAGCACAGCATAGTCCAAGCAGGAAAGAATCGTTATCTTGTCGATTTGGTTGAGATATTTCAGATACATCATAGCGCCAATATCCAACACCACTTTTAGAAAACATGTCATCTGAGGAGAATTTTGAGCGCACTTTCTTATATACTTGCATATCTCTTCTCTCTCAGTATGTCTATTCTCCTATTCATCCGAGGAAATACAGTTCAACATTTCTATAACTTCAGCGCCTGGTAACTATTTTATTTCTGCCTCCAAACGAAATCAAATGCTTCTGACTGTGTTGATGGCAACCAAACCCAGAGGCAAGAATCATAATCATCAACACTCTTCCAATAGTGCAAGAGCACCAAAAATGATAAAAGAAAAGATGGACAGGAAGAAGTGACATATCTTTCTAACCACCACAGAATATCCACATAACAGAAGTACATTCATTACCAAAGAAGTTCATAATAAGAGTCGGTGGAAATTAGGACCTACACACTGAAACTTATGATGCATTTAATTTAACATGACCAGAGAAAATACGTACCTTATAGTAGCTCCATTCAGTTTTTCCATCTGCTTTATAAGACAGAGGGCTGTCACTGGAGTATGCCAGCTTTGCTGTGGAGACATATAACACTCCCATAACTGGACCAGCTGATGTTGAGAGGTAACAAGCGAATGAATTTTGAAGCACCTCCTCTGGAACAGTCTCAAATGTTTGCCGGAAGACATTCTCATAACCTCCTTCTGCTAAGACCTTTGTTCCTTGGGCAAGCCTTCCTAGTGCAGCATCAGCAAAACTAGGGGACGTTTTCACTGATTTTACACAAGAAACACAAGATGAACACTCTCAAATAAGAATATAATATAGAACCACGGGGAGAAAGCTGTAAGCTTTATTAAAAGTGTGTAATCTATCTTTGAACTTCAGGAGTAAGTTGTTTAACAACAGTAAAGACTTTGCGATTCACAGACCAAACTTATGGTGTCATGCGTGACGCAATTTCCATGAAATTCACGGGGAGTTCCAGCGGAAACAGAGTGAATGGAAGTTCTCTTCTTAAGATTTGAATTAAGATCTTGAAATTAATAAGAATAGGCAAGCTGATATAGGATGTGACATGCAAATGGGCCTCAGTACACAAAAAACTCATGACATGCTGGTGCACTTGATCTGAAGGACAAAGTAGAAGTGGATTAGACAAAATGTGCATCATGTTGGGTTCTGGTTTAAAGCTTCGAAAGAAAGACCAACAATTCTACTCCTGTCCAGGAACCACCTGAGCATTACTTTTACAAACTAGTTATCCAAGTTACACCAATCCAGTAATTTGAAAGTTGTTCATACAAGACCAACAACATTAAAAGCTTCATTATTCTGCAACTCTTCATTGATACATCAATTTCATCAGCTATTAACCATTTAAATAGAAATTCACATTAAACTGCCCCGGTACTTCTTTACACGACCACAAACTAAAATCAATGGTGAATATGTTAGTCACAACATTATCTTTTTTTCCACTTTGAGTTGGATGGCTAAGATCTCTAATAATCAATGCCGAAGACACAGATTGACTGCTAAAGGATGTAACAACATGCTGGTGCTCTTGATCTGAAGGAAAAAGTAGAACTGGATTATACAACGTCCACATCATGTTTCCCTATGGTTTAAAGCTTTGAAAGTAAGAACGATTCTACTACTTTCTAGGAACCACTTCGAGCATTACTTTTACAAACTAGTTATCCACAGTAACCCATCAATACAGTAGTTTTCATACCACACCAACGACGTTAAAAGCTTCATTACTCCGCAACTGTCATTGGGACATAAATTTCATAAGCTTTTAACCATTTTCGTAGAAAATTCACATTCAACTGCCTCAGTTCTTTCTTCACCCTTCGACCACAAACTAACATCACGGTGAATATGGTAGTTCCGAATTGGATAATCACAGCATTATCAGTTGTCACTTTGAGTTATGTACCTAACCTAAGATCTTCTTATCATCAATGCCAAAGACACAAATCACTGCTAAAGGATGTAACATTACATGAGACACTCGATCACTAGGGCCTCTTAATCCCAGAAGATTGAGCAGCTCAATAGGAATGAATCACAAGCAAAGCTCACTAACACCACGAAATGAAAGAAGACACTCACAGTGTTGCCATGTGTTGCCGGCAAGAGTCTCAGCTTTCTTGGCGGCTTCCCCGACTCTCCTTCCGAACCTCCCCAGGAATTCCCGCACATTTCCTACCCTCTCTGAGCAAGAGCAGATAAAAAAAAGAGTTCATCAGCCGTAAAAGATCATCGCATAAAGAACAGAGGCGACATGAATTTAGCTTGCCTTTGAGCGAGACAGAAGTAGAGGGTCCAGCGGGAGACGACGATATGTAAGGGTTAGATCCGTCAAGGTAAACGGGGTTACCATCGCCTCCATTTGAAGCCCGAGAATCAGTCACCAAGTCAGGACTCCAATGAACCGATTTCCTCCCCGATCCACCCCGGAAAGACCCTTGCATTTGTTCCAGCTGAGCTTCCTCGGAAGACTGCGGATTCTCCGATCCCAGCTTGGCATCGCCATTTTTGTTAGCTGAGTCTCCATTCGGGTCCTCACGACAATTCTCCCCGATTGTGGAGTCAACCTTGGGGCTCGGATCGGGCAGCGAAGAGGAATCCGCGTTCCTTTGCTGTGCCTCCGTCTTCGGCAATCGCTGGTCCATCTTACGCAAAACGGAGCAGTCGGTGGCGCGTGCGACTGTAAGGAATTTTATGTTTTTTTTTGGTAGAAAATTTTATGTTTTTTCTTTCTCGTTAAATGTTCGTTTTCTTCTCTCTCCGAACTTAGCGGATAGGTGATGGACTGATGGTGCTCACTGCTCAGTGCTCACTGCTCACAAGTCACAGCAAGGTTGTCAACCCGCAGGTTGACTCGGACCCGATCGAGCTAGTGGATCAAGGGTTAATGGGTCAATCATTCTAGTTCGGTTTGGCCCGGAAATATAGAAAGAGTCATTATATTGTACTTGTCCTCATAAATTATATCAAATCTTATCTAACATATGAGTTATAACATATAATATTACACCAAAATAACATATCGTACTTAGATCCAACATATAGTGAAAATTCACACACACTTATATAACATAAATATTCAAATGTTCAACTTAGTATTCCAAAGATTGAGTTAGGCGAAAAGAAAAATTGGAAATAGGCGCATTTCGCAAACTAAAGAAAAAAATGACACAATTTGACCTCCAACCCGGTACCTTATAGCGGTCGGCCAGTTTTTTTCACCGGGTCAGGGTCAAATTGGGTCAACCCGTGGGTCAACCCGACAACCTTGGCTCACAGTCACTTCATATTAGTGGTGACAATCAAGGATAAATTGGGTACTAAAACGAATATTTGTTCGTCGCCCTAAAATTTAAAAAATCACCCTAAACACAGTAAATTGACACATTTACTCCTAACCTCAATTCTAAGCTAACCTTTAGCAAACAATCCCTCCCCTTAACTCAAAGTCCGACACTCACAATTCGGGGGAAAAAAGGTTACCGTCAGGCACCCAATAAATGCTCTTGTCCCTGCTACCAAGAAAGGAGGACAAAGAAGAGGATCGCGACCCCTGGTTATTCCCGAACACGAATCGCCACCCGAAGGAAAAAAAGACGCAACACAACAGAGGATTGCATTTTGTGTTTTTTTTTGGTTGGTCGGCGTCGGATGGGTTGAAAATTCGTCGCCGACGAGCTGGGACGGGTACCTGACCTGTCGCTCACAACTTGCGACGAATTTTCAACCCGTCCGACCCTGGCGTGGAGGTGTATTTTGAGCATGTCTGCATGTCCCGCCGACCCACTCTTGTTGCTTATAAAGGAGAAAGAATCCCCCGTTGACGTTGCCGGGGTTGAGTTTTTTTTTTGTTTTCGATAATTGCGGCAGAAGGGTTAAAAACCCGTCGCCGACGAGTTTAGATGGGTTGCCGAATTATAAAGGACATTAGAGTCATTTTAACAAAAAGTTAGAGCGATGAATTAGGTATTTTAGGACGATGAATAGCAATGCCCATTAATTTTGGTAAAATACACTTTTATAGTAAAAATTTTCACGTTTTTGCCAATACTAGCCATTTTGAAGCACTGCCAAATATAGTCAATTTCGTTCAATTCTTTAATGGTGTTATCTAACATGCTGACTGGACTGATGAATCTTGCTGATGTGACAATTTTTTTTGTTAAAAATCATGTTAGGTTTATTGTAAATAAATTATATATAAAAAAAAATCCTTGACCCCTCTTCCCTCTCTCTTCTCTCGCCTTTTTCCCTGTCCTTCTTCAACCCTGCCGCTCCGTTTAAATTGCCTGCTCCCGATGAAGAAATCGGCGGACACTAGGGAGGGTTTTAGATCAGGGTTCCGACTAACCAAATGAAGGCCCAGCTGAAGGCGGATTGATCGAAGTCGCCGCAGTGGAACAGAGAAGAAGTAGAAGTCATCGCCGCCGCTCCCAAACTGACGAACCCGAAACTCAACTATCCTTCGCCCAGACAGCTGAGTGCCATCTGCACCACGAAGCAATATCGAATCGCAAATCACAACCTGACCCCGAACATCATGTAAGAACCCAATCCAAACAACACAAAAAGATAGATCGGAAACCACTTACGCGAGACGGAACATGAGAGGAGCGATGTTCTTCTCGGTGATCAGGGCTCTGAGCTTCTTCTTGGCCTTGTCGATGTACTTCTTGTAGTCCCCGTTCATGATGGGGTAGTTCTTCGCCATTGTCGGCGAAAAATTATGAAATAAAAAACAATCTTTCATGGAACGGAGGAAGAATCAGCACTACGACGAGTTGATATGCGAGGGCCAAGTGCTCATCCCTTCCTACCTGTAATGATTCTGGATCTGTCCTGGTGTTTACCCATAAAAAATCAGCTTGTACCACATCGATTAATTACAAGGGGATTAATGGATTTATAAGGCCAGCTCAACATTAATGATTAAAAGAGCCAGATGGGCCTAGTTGTGTTAGATTGTTTGGCCTAAGTGGCCAACCCCCTTCTTCTCTATACGATGGCCGACCCGTCTCCGAGGCGCCCATAGCCGGACGATGCCTCCACCCCTTAGTATGAAATTTGGCCTACAAAAACTAAGTCTTGGAAACAAGGCGACACAACGGGGTGCCAAACGACCGGGTACCAAGCCTAGTACCAAATAAGGGGGCCAAACAAGAGGGTATCAAGCCGACAAGGCAGGCCTGATACCCAAGTAAGAAATTTGGCTAAGTATGGAAAACAAGGCGACACAACGGGGTGCCAAACGGCCGGGTACCAAGCCGGATACCAAATAGGAGGTCATCCAAAGGTTAAGTATGGGAAACAAGGCGATACAACGGGGTGCCCAATGGTCGGGTACCAAACAGGAGGCCATCCAAAAGTTAAGTTTTGGAAACAAGGCGACACAACGGGGTGCCAAACAGCCGGGTACCAAATAGGAGGTCATCCAAAAACTAAGTCTTGGAAACAAGGTGACACAACAGGGTGCCAAATGACCGGATGTCAACGACGGGGTATCAAGCCGGCAAAGCAGGGCTTGGTACTTTGACATATAATTTGGCTAAGTATGAAGCAAAAGGGGTATCAAGCCGACAAGGTAGGCTTGATACTAAAATATATAAAAATTGGCTAAGTATGGAGCTAAGAGGGTACCAGGCGGGCAAGGCGACCTCGGTACCAAGACCCCTACAAGGTACCAAGCCGGCATGACAGGCTTGGAAGCCAAGCAAGGCGACATGGTACCATGACCCCATAAGGGTATCAAGCCAACAAGACAAGAAATTCGACTAAGGCATGGTGACTAGCTGAGGTGGCCACCCAACTATGGATGGATCGACCAGGATGCCGAGCTCAGCCCTTATGAGGCCATATGGAGACAAAGTCCAAAGACAGGCTTGGTAGCACCTTCACGGGGTACCAAACCGGCAAGGTGCAACTTACCACTTGACGAGGCTACAAAAACTAAGTATGGAGACCAAGCCACCAGGACTGGCTTGGTAGCAAGGGGTGTCAAGTTGATTACATGGGCTTGGTAACAACCAACAAGTTAATGAGGAGGACTTGGTGTCATGAGATGGTAGTGGTCTCAAGATGACAAGAGTGGGGAGTCATCAAGCCGCCGAGGGTGCGATCAAGACTTCATCATGGAGGCTAAGGCAAATAACCTCAACCCCATCCAGTCATGACAAGGCGACAAGGATCAACAACAACCCGACCCGGCATCGAGGCCATCAAGTACCCACCAGCCCAAGACGAGAAAAGGGCCCCCAAGGTGACGGTTACCAACTAGTCACCAAGGAGGCGACAAGGACCCCGAGGCGGTTTGGAGCAAGAGGCCAGCTAGCAGTTACCAAGGCGGTTACCAAGACAGTTACGCCTAGTGGCTATAAATAGAAGAAACGAAGAAGAAGCAAGGGTTCCACAACCAACCATTTGACACACTATGTCAAACTTTATCTTTTTCTCTACAAATTAGCCATAGCCTTAGTTTTCGGAGCTCTCACTGAACCTCCATAGGAGTAGGTGTAATTAACTTAGTTTGTTCCCAAAAAACCATCAAAAACATCAAACACCCTCGTTCGAACATTGTTCGGAGAGGAGTGAACCGTGTTATTAATCGTTGTTCAAGAAGTCAAAGGTGCATCCATTGTATTCAAACACCAGATTTTCCTCGCCGGAAAACACCTGGCGATTGAGATTGACTTAGAGAAGAAGAAAGTGAGATTGAGGGAAGAAGAGAGGAAGATTGGAAGCAGAATGATAGGGAGGAGGAAGAAAGAACAGGGGAGAGGAAGAAGAAGTAGAACAAGGAAGAATGGTTTCTGTAATTGATATTCGATGCCCCAGTTTACAGTTTACTTCCTCTATTTATATGACTACCCAATTACAAAGTGATCCCCCAATTAATTCCTATTACAACTAAACTCCTTCATTACACTACCCAAGAGAATCGAGTTTTGGCAGTGGAATCAGGTTTCTCTTCTGCGGAATCGAGCTTCTGCTCGATAGGTTTCTATTAGGGGGCCAGGGATTGAGTTTTGGCGGCGGCGGGTGGTTGGAGAAGACAATGCGAAGGTGAGGGGTTAGGGAATCGAGTTTTGGTGGCATGGAATTGGAGAGGAAGATGGCTATGGGCTAGGGATTCTTGGTTCCCTTTCCCTGGCGGCTGGCGAGATGAAGAAGATGAAAGGGATCACATTTGCTTTTTTTTAATTCAATTTTGTTATTAATGAAAAAATAAAATCAAAATTATTCATTTGAATAACACGTTGCATCTACATATCATCACTGGCCGAGTAGTAGTTGATGTGTGCGATGATTTGGCATCCTAGTCAGCCTATCGTTAACCTAACTGGTGGAGTTTCTAACACCATTAAAATTTATAGTGAAAATGACTATTTTGTCACAAAACTTTCAAAATTCTGACTATATTTGAATTTTTTTCAAAAGTGGCTATGATTGTCACCAATGTAGTTAAAATTGTGGTTTAAAACTTAAAAACTTATAATTTTACGTTTCTAGGTCACTAAAACGCTTCTACGCAAAATCTTCCTTTTTATAGCTTATGTAGTTAAAAAAATTGCTTTAAAATTTTAAAACTTACGATTTTACACTTCTAGATCACCAAAACGTTTCTACATAGAACTCGTTTTTAACTACATTGATTATCACAAAAGTGAAAGTTATGGCTATACAAATGTATTTTGCCATTAATTTTCTATAGATTACATTTTGAGAAATTATTAATACACACTAATTGAATTTTTCTCTCTAAGAAGCATGGTTAATCAACT